TAAAAAAAATCAGAAACCAACTCTGAAACACACTAGTGATAAATGCATCATTATATAAATACACTATATTCAGTTACTCATTCTACAAGCACTTACTGAATGCATACCTTTTGCCAAGCATGTTTTAGCAATTGGGAGTATAGCCTTGAAAAAAGTCTGGCCATTCAGAGCTTACATTTATTGTGTATTTGAGAGGGGAAGCAGTCAACAAACAACAAACATGATAAAGAAGAGCTTATACAAAATAAAGCTGCGGGATGAAGGGATTAGGGAGAGTGGGCGGCCAGCAGGTATAATTGATAAACTCATTAAGACTGGTATTAGAGTAGGTGACCTAAAACAGTGAGTGAGCCCTGAGGACATCCAGATTATTCCAGGCAAAGGGGGGTCTGGGGACGGGAAGGGGCAGAGGCTGTTATGGCGTGAACAAGCAGCTGGGAGACAGGGAGATGTGGGTGGGAACACGTGGGGGCCGTGGGAAAGCGCCAGAGGCTGTCGGAGCACCACACCAAGGCTGACTTAAACAACAGGATTTCATTCTCACTGTTCCTGGAGGTCAGCAGTCCAAGATAAGGGCGTCGCCAGGGTTCGTTCTTGAGGCCATGAGACAGCTTCTGTCACACGTCTCTCTCCCCGCTTCTGGAGATTTGCGGGTGTGATCTTTGGCCTTCCTCGACTTGCAGAAGCCTCACCCCAACCTCTGCCTTCATCTTCATTTGGCATTCTCCATGTACGTGTCTCCAGATCTCCCCTTTTTGTGAGGACACCAGTCACATGGAATTAGGATGCACCCCATTTCAGTATGGCTTTATGCTGACTGGGGCTTCCCTTCAGACGGTAACGAATCTGTGCGGGAAACCTGGATTTGATCCTGGGACAGGATAATCCCCTGAAGAAGGGCATGGCAACCCACTCCAGTATTCTTGCCTGGAGAATCCCACGGACAGAGGAGCCTGGAGGGCTATACAGTTCATGGCGTCGTAGAGTCAGACATGACCGAGGGATAAACACACGCTTATGCTAATTATGTCTGTAACAATCCTACTTCCAAGTAAGGTCACATTCTGAGGTACCAGGGGTTGCAACTTCATTCTATGAATTTGGGGGGGCATATTTCAATCAGTAACATGGCTGTTATTGCCAAATGAGAGAAACAGCCATTGGAATGTTCTGAGCAGACAAACGCCACGATCCCCCTTAAATCATAAGAGGACGCCTTTCACTGCTCCTTCAACGCTGGGCTACAGTCAGGCAAGGCTGGAGCAGCGGAGCCTGGTGACGGGCCTGGACACAGCAGCCTGAACACAGATGGGCCATTCCTGCGCCAGAGACATTCTCACCAAGAGATACACTCATGGTGTATCCAGTGTGAAAAATACACGATCAAAGTAAATCTCTGTTTTTTCGATAATACACTCTCCCCATTTGATGCTACTTTAGAGAAGAAACCTTGAGGCTCTAGATTTCCACTTTATTGATAGAGAGAGTGAGGTGCTGGGTCTAAAACTAAAATTTAGCAGTTGGATCAAGGACTCAAATCCAATTATTCTAGCTTTAAACTCTGCAATTAATATGATCAGGTTTTACAAATACAAAATATATCAAACTCATGGATCTCAGGTTTTTCATCTTCTATACAAAATAATTAATTACAACCTGATCTCTATCAAATTTGTTTAAATTTTTAAAAACTATGTTTCTATAATTACAAATAACTTACAATTAACAAGAGGGAAAAAATTACTTTGTGGAAGATGAGTCTTGACTGCCCTTTTTGCTTGCACAGAGAAAAACTTACATCCCAGACAACCAAAAAATAAACAGTAAAAATAAGATGGTTAAATGTTTTCAATTAATTTATTTAGAAAAACAAAGGTTTACAATTGGTGCCTTAAGGCAGGAGACCATGAGTTCAACAAGTTAGTATTAATAATACAGACTTTCAAAAACCTTTATAGATTAGTCCAAAGTAGAAAATTATTTTCTGCCCACTCTTGGACTCAAGACACATTCAGAAAAAATATATATTTATAAAAATAAAACGTCAAACCTAATCCCACCAATAAACTGATAGTCTTAATATCAGTTTGTTTGAACAACCTCTGTGTAATAAGAATAGCTGAGTGATTTTTCCCTGCCCTACCTCCATATCATATGAAGTGATGATGAAAATATTTTTGCAAAATCAAAAACATCCCTGAAACAAAACACAAGAAACAGTAAGAACAAATATCAACTAAATGAAAACAGTATAACTAATTGGTTTACTATTCATACAGACCAGTCCTTCAGCCTCTAGACATCTAGCTCTTCATGTTATTTCTACTTCAGACACCAGGGAGCACACGTGTAAAGAAGATGGAAATCCCCGGTCTAATCCACCTCGATTTCAGATGGCAGTTTCAGAAATACTAATACAATGCATACAATGCAACAAAAAGGGCTGCCAGCTATAATGAAATGCACTGCTGATAAAAACACTCTCTCGCTGAAACATCTTTAAAAACTGTGAGCACCGGATTAAGCAATGGCAGGCATCTAGGATCCTGGACTTAGAAGTCAGAAAGAGAACTTCATTGCAACTGAAAGACAAGGCAGAAGTCCAACTTAACTACAGGGTATCCTACCTACTGACACGTGATAACAGTGAGTTTCATCACTGAATTAGGATGTTCAGTGTATCTATGTTCTACAGGATTCATTAAGAAACCTACCTTTATTTTGAAGTAATTTTTCCTAAAATGAAAACAGCATTCCTAATAAACCCTGCTATCACACTGAAGGGAAAACCATACTAGTGAGCAAAAATTTTCAATGTTTTATGAAGATACTGTGACAGTATCTTAGACAACTAAAAAGCAAACTTAAAAAAAAATCACTTACAAACCATCTATACTTTTTGTTTCCCCAACATCACATTGTGAAAACACAAATAGAATATGAGGCAACAGTAGAGAGTTATGAAAAGGTAACAAAGAACTAAGGCTTTAATAGATGAGAAAAATCTCAGAATACAAAGATCACTGAACCATGTTGATACATACTAAGCTTTGCTTTTTCTTTTTCCTGTTTTGCTGTTTAATTTACAGGTGTGCTTGACAAAAGACAAAACCACACAGATGACGGACCTGATAGTGATAAACATGAAGAAAAAAGCCATAACATTCTCACAACCTCCTCTTGTCACTGGTAGTGACCAAGCTGCAACGTCCCTGCCAGGCTGAGCCCGAGGATCTGTGCTTAGCTAAGCCTTTCACACCCACAAAACAAAACAAGCCTGACCACTGCCAACATTAATACCTATTTTCCAAAAGACTCACTTGTTAACTCGTTAGAAATTTCCTTGTTAAATTAACAGTATTTATATTCCATTTCCATTTAAGAATACCATTTCATTCTAGTGTTCCCTGCAATTTCCTGTGACTGCCTATGTGCTTCCTTTATAAAAATGATAATGATGAAGTACCAAATCTAAGAATAAATAATTATTGTATACTAAAAGGTACAAGAAAGTAATTACTAGTGACTCCTTAGGACTTAAGACGCAAGAGCTTCAGGTTAGTAGGGATCAGCATGGCATCAGAAATAACCCCAGGCTGCCCTGGGGACTGTAGCCCTGAACAGCTTCAGTATCGGACTATAAATTATGGACTTTTAAAGTGATGAAACATTTTAAAATGTTTAATAATTCAATGTATAACCACTCAAATAATAGTCACTTAATAAAAATCCTAAACTTAGCTCAAAAATAAAAGTCTCAAAAATAAGCTAATCTATGATAAACATACCATACTATTATTTTAAAAAAATACCAATTTTGCACATTACTTAGGATAGAATTCCTATGTTGTTCCATTGTGGAGAGATGAGGGGGCACTGGCTGAAATGGGTAACACCTGGGAGGATGCAGAAAGCAACTGGAAGATCTCTTTAATTACCGGACGTGAATTTTCTTCATAGGCTGATTATGTCACTCATTAGGAACAGGCACGCCCGTAGCATTATATAACAGATGTCAATAAATTCTATATGTGTGTATGTATGTGTATATATATACACACACACACCCATGTACACACATATTAGATCATAAGTTCCCATAAAGTTACTATGCCATAAACATAAAAATGTGATATATATTACTTTTTAAAAAGCAGCAGGAGCTTTTTATAAGAGAAAAATTTTAGATGAAATCCCAATATATAAAAGAGAAACAAGAGTAGGCTGTTTTGGCTAAAGTGGGGGAGGCAGGAGTAACAGAGAGCCCCGCCCCTCCCACAGTGTTGGCTGAGACACCAATTCTGTCATCTGAAATCACTGATCCAAGCAAATCCTGTTTACGCGGCAAAGATTAAACATAAGACAATACAGGCCCACAATATAGGCCCCATGAAAGTTTTATAATGCAACTGAGTATAAAGGTAAAAAGTAACAGTTCCTCTCCTTTAAAAATAACAAAATAAAATCACTATGCTATATAAAACCAAATTGTTTTATCTCATAATCTTAATTTGATCCTTGGAAAAAGTTACTAGTTCTCTTTAAAGTGCCTAAATTTCAAAGACTTAATTTTGTCCATATAAATCTTATCCAAAACAAGAGGAGAATGCATGGTGCAAGGTGGAGGTGTTATTTTTCTCTATGACACATGTATCTTCTACCTGACTGGCCGATTTAAATATTCTGCCCAAGAATCTTAATTCTGTCACAGAATATTCAGATAGAGAAACATGCAAACAGAACTGGTCTGGTAGAACAACATCTACAAGGTAAACTCTGATGGAGTGTTTTGACTGATTGTTTTAGACAAACTTTCCATCTCTTTGCTCCAAACATCTCCCTGTTTGTGGAAGGACTATTTTATAACCCATGCAATTGATGTTAGCAAAATACAAATACCAGGTTCTCTCCTGGAAAGGTCATGATTAAATGTCTAAATTCAATAAATAGACTCTTTTAATAATGTGAAATCCTATCACACAGTCTAACCGAGTCGAGCCTCAATCTTTCTTTTTTTCTAGCACGTCTTTGGGCTCCTGCGGGGCGGGCAGCAGAGACTCCCCAGCCCCGGGCTCCGGGGGCTCCTGGCTCTCTCCTGCCGGCTCTGGGCCATCAGGCTCGCTCTTGGACACTTCGTACCGCTCCTCGATGTAGCCTCCGTCCGCGTCAGCCGTGTAGATGCCGTAGCACATGATGCTGATGACGCCCAGGGGCAGGCCGAAGAGGAAGCAGCCCATCAGTGGGGAGCTCCTGAATATGGACTGTGGAGAAACAAGGAGGCCACTGAGATGCCGCCTGATACAGAAACCCTCAAGGAACTGGAAAGCAGCTAGAGTTCCTCCTCCTGCGGCCAGCCAACCTGCTTTCGGTCCCAATGACTCAATGTCAGTTTTTCTGCAGTAACTACCCTGTGAAAGACACTTTAGACATTTTATATCCGTGTATGTGAGCATGTGGAGCCAAGCTATTAGCAGCAAAAAATGGCACCAAGTCCTCCATTATCTTTTTGTTTTTAATTAAAACTTTTTATTTTGTTTTGGAGGACAGCCGATTAACAATGCTGCTGGCAGTCTCAGATGGACACCAATCCATTCCCTTTTCAAAAGACACTTGCTTTCCTCACATTAATCACAAAGCTCTTTGAGGTGGTTGTTATGTGCCAACAGCTTTACAGCTGTACCCTGGCTTGAGAAGGCTGCTTATTTACCATAAGGAAGGTAGTACTCTCTTCATGTAACATTTTTTACTTGACTGGTTAGAATTTACTAAGTTAATTAGCAATTTTACTAAAATTAACTTAGTAATTTCCCTCAGATCCCAGAGAAGTAAAAGCAACGTGCCTGAGTTTTCCAACTATACTGTAGTCTATGGATTGTGACTGTAACTCTTGAGAACTAAACAAATTCGAAGCAGAGCAGGGTCACTTGGGACTGAGGTAATGGAAAGCGGCATCAGAGTCAAGGCGCCGTGCGGCAGAAGTTTCAGTGTGAGTAAGGACAAGGCAGGCCGGGGTCCAGGGGGGCCCAGACTGAGGAGAAAATGTGAGACGGACGGAGAATGGTGACAGGAGTCACTGGAAAAGGGGAGGAGAGTGACCAGACCGATTACTGCAGTAACAGGGATTACGCAGAGGTGCAGAGAGGGCCTGGAGACGGGGCAGGGAAGGGAGCAGAAGATACCATGCGGAGGCCAGTCACACGTGTGAGCAGGGCCCAGCCCATGAGAGGGCGCGGCCAACGGAAGGCGCAGGGGCAGGTCAAGGATCAGTAGCGGCTACTTCTCACCAGTGGAAGGTCAGTTCTGTTTTAGTTGCTTTAGGCCACAATGAATGAAAACACCCATGGAGTAGCTCAAAATAGACAGAGAGAACTATGTTTAAGGCTCCAACAAATTTAGGGCTACTCTGCAGCCGAGCCGACAGCTGAAGCTGGGACAGTAAGAGAGCTTTCTGAGGCCTCTCAGCAAGAGCGTCTCAGATCCGAGGACTCAGAAGGGCAGGAGGAGGAAAGAAACTCTGAAAGACACCAAGTTACGCTATCGAGTTAAGTGATCCTGAATTCCAGTTGCCTCACCAATCATACAGAAATAAAAAACTGGAGAAACTTAATTTCCATCTGATCAGTATCTTCTCTTAACATAAATATGTACTACATCTCATCTTGTAAGATGTATTTTTATCAAATCCTTTGAAACTCCAAATTTTATTAATATCTTAGTTAGACAAAACCTATCCCTATGTTCTCAATCATCAATGACACCAAACACGCTGTCACGACTTACCACAACAGTAGATTTGGCATCAAATACTATTCGTTTCAATCTCTGCAAAATGCTATCACCTCCTTGGGCCTTAAAGTTAACAGGAAAAAACAAATTGTTATTTCAGTACTATCATTTATCTGTTAGGTAATCATTCTTACGATGGTAGGTAAAGAGTTGACTACAAAAGATTACACAGAACACCTGAGGAGTCGTGGAGTAATCTTCCTGGTTCCTCCGTCCCTCCTTGCCTCTGTCCTCCTGTATGAACACAGTCTGATTCTCCTCTGAGAACGCATCCTCCCTAGCGCTCTGGCTGAGGCTGACCCGCCCCGGGTCAGGCCTGCCCCGTTCCCGAGTTTAGCTGAGCGTGGTAAGAGCTGCTATCGAGCAGGGCATCGTTCCTGTCCTACAGGGAGAGCCCCCCTGGTGAGGAAACCCAAAGGGAAACGGCTGGAAGGCAGAGGGGGCGAAATTCCTGACGAAAACCCATCCAGTTCCTGCATTCCGCACCCCCTGAAGTCTGTCCCCCCCGAATCTCACTAACTGATACCGATGGGCCACACTCACACCGGTGAGCCTCACTTGAACAACTGTTAGCTTTACAAACAAAACTCCCACTATGTGGTTAAGAGCGTTCCCAAAGGACTACTTGTTACCCTGTGAGCCAACTTTCAAATACAGTTTGTGTAAAGCTGAAGCCAGTCTCACAAAATATTTAAGCTTCACGAAAGCACAGAAATCTCATATTTTTTCTTAAAAAACAGTTCAGATTATCCATTCATCATTCTGAGAAACGTTTTATAGGATTATATTTGGAATAGTCCACTCAGGCTGGTTCTAAATACATTTCCTGATCTTTTAAGAAACTGTGGTGTTATTCACAGGGTTTTTTAAGAAAACTAATCCAAGTGACGTTATTCAATTGTATTTGTGAATCCAGAGAGATACTAAGAATTGAGAAGTTCACCGTCAGATGGCTCTGGACCCCGTACACCTCTCAGCCTCCACAGCCCCGGCTCTGACCCTACACGTCAAAAAGCACGTCCCCTGACAACCTGACGCGCCCACCGAACAGCGTTCCGCCCATCAGTGCCCCCTGCGGAACCAATTCCACCTACAGTGTGAGAGAACTGGCGAGGACAGGGGTCTGCCCCACCCTAGGGGTGGCCGAATCTTCCTCTCAGAATCAGAGGAGAAGAACTCATTTCATCTCTATGTCCTCCCATCACCCCTTTGAAATTACAGTGAACAACTCACATCTACTGTGCCTTCCAAGATGTTATTAATGAACTGGACCATGTCTTCTGCATTCTTAATCTGTCTATCTAGTAAAAAGTACTGTTGGTTTGAAGTATTCAGTACAACCACAGTTGGGACTTTCAATTCACTGAAAACAGAAAAACAGAGAAGTCAAAATATATGTTAAACACAGAGACAACAAGTATTCTGATGTTTGAATTAAATCCAAATAACTAAAAGTACAAAAGGGAGATATAATAGTTTTGCCTTCCTCTGCTTATATAATTTCAAATTGTGCATCAATTTTAAAAAATAGCTAAATTAACATTTATGAGAACTGCTAGCATACAATATCAGACAGCTAAATATTCACAATTAAACCTAAAGATAAAAGTTAATATGTATGAAGCACCCGTTTCTGGGCAGTATAATTTCGTGCACAAGTCTATGTTAAATACCATCACTGTTAATCACACACAGACTACTTCAGTTAAAGTGTCGTCTCCAGAGTCACTGCCTGTGGTCCACTCTGATGCTTTCCTACAATGCAGCTTCAATCTAATATTTTTCATTTAAAAGTGAATAAAGGTGGGGGAGTTTGAGTAAACTCCGGGAGTTGTTGATGGACAGGGAGGCCTGGCATGCTGCAGTCCATGGGGTCGTAAAGAGTCAGACACGACTGAGCGACTGAACTGAGCTGAAAGGTGGGGGTGTGGGGACTTACCTTGTAGAAGTTAAATGAGAAAATTCAAGTTAAATATGTAGCACATCCCCTGTACATAACAGTGGTTCAATAAACACAATTCCAAAGCCTCTCAACTTGCTACCACCCCACAGTATAATCACCCCATCCTCTTGGGTGCTCCAGGGACATTCTAGATGTCAATTCAGTTTGCAGACAAAAACCGTAATGTAGTATTACTAATATGTCATTTACTTCAAATAACTTGTTTTTTTCCCTTCAAGGATAGGATTTTGCATAATTATAGAAAGGGGCTTCATTCTGTATGTCACCTAGTATCAGGTTACGGTTATTCATATGTCTATCTGTATCAGTTTATGGGTATGCGTGTGTCTCGTATTATGCAAAAGCATAGAACTCTAGAGTGGAACAATTCACAGCCCTGTATGATCACCACATGAGTAACCGACCCCTCCCCGCACCACACGCTTCTGCCAGGGAGACCACATGCGCATCTTCACGTGTTTCCGGGATTGCCAGGAGCAGAGGATCCCTAGGAAAATACCGCCTGGGATGGGGTGAGAGGTAGGGGAGGCCTGGACCTAACTGGCAGCCTGGAGCCACGTGGGACTGTGCCCAGACAGGGTCAGCCAAGCCCAGACAAGCGGGAGAATACATGATTACTGTTTTACACCACTGGGTACTGGGGTACTTTATTATCCTGTATTATTAGGCAATAATTAACTATGTAATTAAAAAATAATCTTAGCTTCATTCTTGTTCACAAAAACAGGAAATGACTTTTTGACTTAGAGCAATTATCATTATACTGGATCAGTAGCAAAATTCTATTTTTATAGAATGAATTAAGAACCTGGTCTTCCTACAAAAATATATTTTATGAAGAAGTTAAAGTACACAGCTGAACTAGAAACAATGTTTTCTGAGATAATTCAATTTGAATAATGATGAAAAATAACACCTCACACTATCCCCTCTTAACAATGCTCACAGAAACCTAATAAAAAATAATTTAACAGACCAAAGGTCTGAGCAGACCCTATTTCCTTGGAGAAAAAGTAAAAACCACAGTCAAAGCTACAGTGTTAAACTATCATATAATATCATGCATTTTGCCCTAAGTTAAAAACTTGTAGGCATAAATACTGATTAAATTCCACTAATTTATGTGTCAGTACTGATGGTACAGTAGGGAGGAGCTTTTGGAGTCACAGATCTGGATTCGGGGCCTGGGTCTCTTTGACTTACTTGCTGGGCATCATTTGGCTTATTAGTTAACTTCCTTGAGTTTCTTCTAAGAAATTTCAATTTCCTCATCTATATAAAATGGAAAGAATAATAGTTCTTACACCTTACTGAGTTAGCATAAAAGTCAGAAAATGCACGCTGACCACCCAGTCCAGTGTTGGTCACAGGAGAAGTGTTCATTGAGGACTTTCAATTACTATATAACTATCATTATATGCTTTCTCTCTTCTCTAAAAAAAAAAAAAAAAGTACAAACTTCTGACCATAGCAGTAGCAAAACTTCTACTATCACATAACTCACATTGGAAATAATACTCATGACGGAATGTCCATCCTTCTCTAGAAATTCTGAGTATTACCCAGAATCAAGGAGGTGTTTATCAGGCGCAAACGGCTTTGGCCTCTTGCTCACAATGTTTTACCACATCACTTTATTGGCTTGCCTCCAAGAACATTATAAAAAATGGTTGTATTGAAATCCTTACTATACACAGTATTACAAAATCCTATTAAAACATATTTCTATTGTAACATGAGGCTTCCCAAGTGGTGCATGGTAAAGAATCCGCTTGCCAGTGCAGGAGACGCAGGTTTGATCTCTGGGTTTGGAAGATCCCCTGGAAGAGGAAATGGCAACCCACTCCAGTGTTCTTGTCTGGAGAATCCCATGGACAGAGGAGCCTGGTGAGCGACCATCCATGAGATCTCAAAGAGCTGGACATGACTGAGCACACTGTATTGTCCCCCCTTTATAAGATTACACAGCATAGCAATTTCTCTTAGGTCTCTACAAGGTCAACCAAACTCCTATAAGCAACAGTCATTTTATAGGTGATGGGAAATGTGTAAACCATGTTTTCATACTTTGTATTGAATATTTAAAATTCAAATAAGTACCTTTAATAATTGTATAGATACTTTATTTTATTTTCTCTTGATTTCTTCATTATGTATTAAATCTGGTACTTTATATCTTTGGTAAACCCTCTCAAATTCTTACTGGAATAAGGATAATGAATTGATTATAAATGAATAAAGCTACTTTACTTTGTAATTTTGAGATTATTAAGATGCTTGTTCCCTGGAAGAAAAGCTGTGACAAACCTAGACAGCCTATGAAAAAGTAGAGACATCACTTTACCGACAAAGGTCCATATAGTCAAAGCTATGGTTTTTCCAGTAGTCAAGTATGGATGTGAGAGTTGGACCATAAGGAAAGCTCAGCACCAAAGAATTGATGCTTTTGAGCTGTGGTGTTGGAGAAGACTCTTGAGAGTCCCTTGGACTGCAAGGAGATCCACCAGTTCATCCTAAAGGAAATCAATCCTGACTACCCCTTGGAAGGACTGATGCTGAAGCTCCAATACTTTGGCCACCTGATGCAAAGAACTGACTCATGTGAAAAGACCGTGATGCTGGGAAAGACTGAAGGCGGGAGGAGAAGGGGACGACAGAGGATGAGATGGTTGGATGGCATCACTGACTCAATGGACATGAGTTTGAGCAAGCTCCGGGAGTTGGTGATGGACAGGGAGGCCTGGTGTGCTACAGTTCACGAAGGCCAAAGAGTCAAGCAACTGAACTGAACTTCGTAATTTTAGGCTCTTGAGGGATTTCCCCATTTTCATGCCCGTGCTCTTTTTAAGACCCATTTTCCAAACACTCGTGTGTCTGCTATTACTCCCTGCCTGAAATGACCTCTCTGCATTCTTCATTCAGCTACCTTCTCATTCTTTAGAATTTCTCTTAATTACTGCCTCCTCTGACAAGCATTTTCTGAGCCCCTGCACCTTCTGTCATTGGGGTGAGGGCGGCAGTGGGGGTCTCTCATGTTCTCAGACAGTCTGCAACCTCATCCTGTCTAACCCAGCGAACTGGAAACATCTGAAGACGGGGACACCATAATCTACTCACTTTTTTGCACCAACAGTGCAGTGCCAAACACAGCGTGTGACATACAGCAAATACTCACTAAATGCCCACTGAATAGAACAGGCTTTCCTTTGAAATTTATTAATTTGGTATAGGTTTGGTAGATGTTTTCTGATATCAACTTTCTGAGGTGACAAATCATATCTTAATACCATAAGCATAATCAGTATTATTTTAAAACTGCATAATTTTCCTATATAGTCCGTTAAAACAAATTCTTTTAGAATTGTAATTAATCCCTGAATGATAAAAATTTTCTAATTAAGTTTTATTCATTAAAACTGAACTAAGGTGCATATTAGACAAACTACAAAGTTTACAAATTTCTGAATGATATTCTTTCCAAAATACTATGTTATCAACATTAAAATGGGAATATATTTTTTAGAATATAGACTTTTTAAGTTTAGTTTCAAATACAGATTTTAAAAACTAAAGTAAAATATTTAATGGGAATGTATCTTTATTAACATATACAAAGGTTTGCTTTCTTTCAGTTTTTAGTCCTTCTGCCTATCTTTGAAAAAGAGAAATTTAAAAACTGATAGTCAGGACTGCCCTGGCGATCTGATGGTTAGGACCCCACACTCCTACTGCAGGGGGCACAAGTTCAAACATTGATCGAAGAATTAAAATCCTGTAAGCCACACAGTGTGACCAAAAAAAACAAAGAAGAGTTGGTAGCAAAAATTTAGCATTTTACTTACTCCATCAGCAAGGTATTTATATAGTCATTTCCATCCATGTGGCCAAACTGAAAATCCCTAATCAACAACCAAAAAGAAGAGAGAAAAAAGGAGCAATATTAAATACAAAAAAAGAATAAATACAAAGCACTGAATTTATTGCTTGCTAAGCATGTAAATACTGTAAACATATAACATATAAATTAGATACAATAAATATTAAAAAGCATAAATCCTATTGGGTTTGGAGATAGAAACACGATGTAACAAGCAAATTTTAAGACATTTCTATTTTGTTTCATACTATGTAATAGGAAAAAAAAAATATATATATATATATAGACACATCATTAAGAGACTCAGCATAAAAAGGGCATAATAAGCAAGTAATGTGACAGATTTACACTAACCGTTATGTGACAGTAACAAACTGACTCAGCACACAGGAAAAATACCACCTATTTTTTACGTTCCATTTTCTTTGAGTTCCTGTTAAAATCATCATCTATCTGCATCTGACTTGTGACTGCTCGCTCACTCAACTGTACCTCAAATGCATGACTAAACAGGCAACCTCATTTTACTGGGCTTTGCTTTACTGTAGTTCCCAGATAGTACGGTTTTTTTTCTTTTTTTTTCCCTTAACAAATTGAAAGTTTCTGCCAAGTCTGTTGAGTGAGTCTATCGGTGCTATTTTACCTACAGTATTTGCTCATTTTGTGTCACTGTGTCATATTTTTGGTAATTCTCACAATACTGCAAACTTTTTCATTACTTTCATATCTTCTCTGATGATCTGTAGGCAGTGATCTATAATGTTACTACTGTGATTTTGGGGTGCCATGAACTGTGCCCATGTAAGACTTCCAATTTAAGTAATAAATGTTGTGCGTGTTCTGACTTCTCAACCAACCAGCCATTCTCCCATCTCTCTCCCTCTCCTCTGGCCTCCCTGTTCCCTGAGACACAATGATGTTGAAATCAGATGGAGTAATCACCCTATAATGGCCTCTAAATGTTCAAGTGAAAGGGTCCTGTGTCTCTCACTTTAAATCAAAAACTATAAAAGATCCAGCTCAGAAGGGGAGGGAAGTTGAGATAGGCTGAAAGCTAGGCCTCTTGCAGCAAAACAGTCAGCCAAGTTGTGAATGCAAAGGAAAAGCTTATTGAAGGAAATTAAAGGTGCTACTCTAGTAAATAAACAAATGGCAAGCAAGTAAAACAGCCTTATTACTGACATGCAGAAAGTTTGGGGGGTTCTGGATAGATCAAAGCAGCTACAACATTTCCTTAAGCCAAAGCCTAACCCAGAGCAAGGCCCTTAACTCTCTTCGGTTCTATGGAGGCGGAGAGAGGCGAGGAAGCTGGGAAGAAAATCTGAAGCCAGCAGAGGGCGGTTTATGAGACTTGAGGACAGAAGCCTTCCCCATAACAGGAAAGTGCAAGGTCAGGCAGCAAGAGCTGATGTAGAGGCCACGGCAAGCTATCCAGAAGATCCAGCTCAGATCAGTAATGAACCTGCCACATTAAAGAAGAGATTCTCAGCATAGATGAAACAGCCTTCTATCAGGAGATGCCATCTAGGACTTTTGGGGCCAGAAAGAAGACGTCAAGGCCCGGCTTTTAAACCTTCAAAGGACAGGCTGACTCTTGTTAGGGGCAGACACAGTTCGTGACTTTAAGTTGAAACCAATGCTCACTTATCATTTTAAAAATATTAAAAGTCCTTAAGAATTATGCTAAATCTACCCTGCCTTTTTATGACAACATAGCCTGGATGCAGCATATCTATTTACAACATGGTTTAATAATATTTTAAGCCTTACTGTTGAGACCTACTGCTCAGGGGAAAAAAAAAAAAGGTTCCTTTCAAGCTATCTGCTCGTCGACAATGCACTTGGGTCCCCCAAGAGCTGTGATGGAGAGGTATAATGAGATGAATGTTGTGTTCCCTCCTGCTAACGTAACACAACACCCATTCCACAGTCCACGGATCAAGGAGTCATTCTGACTCTCAAGTCTTATTACTGAAGAAGCACATTTCCTAAAGCCACAGCTGCCACAGAGCTCTGGTGGATCTGGGCAGAGTCAACTGCACACCTCCAGCAGGGAGTCACAATTCCAGATGCCACTAACAGCATTCATGATTCATGGGAACAGGTCAAATATCAACACTAAGAGGAGTGTGGAAGAAGCAGATTCCAACCCTTGTGGATGATTCTGAATCATTCAAGATTTCAGAAAAGGAAATGACTACAGATGTAGTGAACGGTCAGAAAAGTAGAGTTAGGAATGGAGACTGAACTGCTACAATCCTGTGATAACATGAGTGGATGAGGAATTACTTCTTATGGATGAGCAGAAAAGAGCAGTTCCAGGAATCTACTCCTGGGGAAGAAGTTGCAAAGACTGTTGAAATCACAACATTTGGGAGACTCAGAATATTACATAAACTTAGCTGACAAAGGAGCCGGGTTTGAGAGGATCACCTCAGATTCTGAAAGACGTTCTATTGTGGGCAAAATGCTGTCAGTGCTATGGAGAAATTGTTCAGGAAAGAAAGAGTTGATCCATGAGGCAGATGTTACTGTTCTATTTTAAGAAAAAGCCACAGAAACCCCAATCTCAACCACTCTGGTCAGTTAGCAACCAACCTTCAACACTGGGGCAAGACCTTCCACCAGCAAAAAGATTATAGCTCACTGAAGGCTTCAGTGATGATTGGCATTTTTAAAGTATGGACATTTTTTAGACACTGTGCCTCGGCACACTTAATGGACCACAGTATGTATCAAAACGTAACTTTTACATGTACTAGGGAAACAGATTTCATGTGACTTCCTGTATTGCAGTGGTCTGGAGCCAAGTCTGCAACGCCTCTGAAATATATGCTTGTATATGGGCATGTTTTCTTACCACAAACTTACCCTAAATCCTATGACGCAGGTATGATTCAAATTAGAAGTTTTTTTTTTTCCTAACTTGTAAGACATGTATCAACAAACTTCAAGTCCAAACAATCCATAATAAAATGCAACATGCTGTAATTCATTTCAGCTCCTTACTTTTGCTTTACTGTATTACAGAACATAATGAAACAAAGATAATGGTACTTTCCAGAATGCAAACACCTACCTGTGGAACTGGTCTCTGTAATCTCTAGCAACTTCCTGAATAATTGATTTTAATCTGTAAGAAAATAAAAAACACATGAACATTCCATCTTGTCAATTTGAAAAAATATAATTACTCAATTATAGTATCTGCTGCTTTATCTAATGTTTAACGCTGCAGGAAAAGTAAGATACTGTATCATGTTTATCTGAAGGCCATGTAAAGTCTGAACTGGATGATAGTTGAAGCTTAAAACTATTTCATGGCACTATACCTGGTATGTTCAACTGATGTATTTTTCTCATCAATTACTGCGATAGCCACAAGCTTTCCTGAAATGAAGAATGACATATCTAAATTCAACAATCCTCATTATATAAACTTTCCAATTATTACTGTACTTACGAACAGGAAAAGAGTATATAGCTTCTAAATCCAATTCCAATTAAACATATTATGTTTAGCAGAATGAAACCCTGAATTATTTAACATCAAGTGATAAATTCCAACCTACCTCCCACCCCCAAAATGTAAATATCAACTAGTGAGTGAAAGTCTCTCAGTTGCGTCCGACTCTTTGCAACCCCATGGACTATACAGTCCATGGAATTCTCCAGGCCAGAATACTGGAGTGGGTAGCCTTTCCCTCCTCCAGCGGACCCTCCTGACCCAGGAATCGAACCAGGGTCTCCTGCACTGTAGGCGGATTCTTTACCAACTGAGCTATCAGGAAAGCCCCAATAATGGTTAATACTTAACAATTCATATACTCAAACTGCATTCTTTCACACAACTCACAAACTGACAAAAATAAGTATTTTGTTGAAAATTAATACAAATTAACAAAGCACTTCTTCCTAACACTTATGTGGTTGGCTTCTTACAATTTTTGTAGTTTACATCTATTTGAGACCATTCAGCTAGTTTCTTAGTTTTCTTTTTACACCTATATTTGTATTTGCTTTGCTTATCATTTTCAAGAATGTAACTTCAAGAAACCATGCCAACCTGACACCCTTACTTTCTGCACAAGTAGAACTGTGCTTTCAAAGGCTGTGATAACTTGTATTCCAAATTCTATTACAAAATCAGTCTTCTGAGGACAGGTTTCTGGTGATTATTTTTTTCTAATTTCCTTATTATACAGGCTCTGTTTTCCCTGTCACTATTGATTCTTTAATGAACCCTTTCTAGCTAATCTTTATTCCACATGTATGTTCTTTGGTAATATTCATCTATATTCTCATAAAGTTGAACTGGCATTCAGGTCTGAAAGAAGGAATGCTATTATGAAATAGGAATTAAAAACTCATTTCCTATAAATTTATGTAATCAGTTAAGGAAAAGCTTTGCAGAGTGATGGAGTTGCACATATGCTGTTACCAGTGTCTCCAAGTTCATACAAGAGGAAGCCGTCCATCGTAAGGTAATTCTGAAACCTCTCCCTGTTGATCCAAGATGACAGATCACCATCTTCATACTCTTCAAAACAAAGTTAATAAATTAGAGTATAAATATGAAATTAAAATGTTACAGTGTTTAATCTAGCAATATTTATAAAATGCCTGACACAGGACCATAATCAAATTCATAAACTTCAGTTTTAGAAAGCTATTCGAAGCAAACAATCAAATGTAAAAAAGGGTTAATACACAAAACAATTCATTATTACAGCATCATTAACACAGCAGAAGATAAATAAATAAAAATATAGGAAATAACTGAAATACCCTAAACAGGAAATAATTTAAATCATTACGGTACACATTGAGGAAGGCCATTTATAGATTTTTAAAAATTACAATAATTAAGGGGTAAAGCAGGTGACAAAATAATACAACATGACTGTAATACTGCAAAAAATGAAGTATGTAAGAAAACTGACAGAATGATAAAATGAAGGCATATATATACTCCTACTAAATAGTTTTCCTGGGCTGATGATTATTCTTGGATGATGTCCTTATGGGCAATTTTTTACTCTAACTTCTTTGCTCTTCCGTATTTTATGAAATCCTTTTTCTTATGTAAAAAAAAAAAAAATCACATATAATGTCAAACATAGTATTTTAGCCCTTTTCTAACATCATATACTTCCTCTGACAGGAAACATAATATCCAAGAGAATTATGTCCTGATTAGAAATATAATTCTGAAAAATGATCACAACTGCATGAAAAAGTAGCTGATGGAAACGCCTACCAATGTGTTTGGAGGAAGACCGGATTTTACTGACTTCTTGAAAGATGTGCTTTTTCAGTCACTTGCTAAACAGAACATTTTCAAGTTATCATACCTATAAAATAAGTAATATAATGCAAATCTGAAAGTATTTATGGATTCAGATTGATGACATAGGAGGGTAAACAAAAACCTAGAAGTTGATTATTGGGTCACAATCTCCACTCCAGGTCACATTTTCTGAAGATTATACACGAAAGTGATAAAACTAAAACTCATCAGGAGATAAACCACGCCCAAGCTTCATCCGCACGCTCCTGACGTTATCAACAACAACGAGAAGGCAGGACAAGCAGGCTTCACTGGAAGACGGCTTATTTCTTCCCCTTGTGTGTCTCAAATGTCAGACCCTTTTAAAATGAATTCTGAATGTTTTAATGTAGAGAAACTGCATAGGGCTCATTTCTAAAGAAGGCAAATGATCTGATCAAAAAAAAAGAAGAAAAAGAAATGTATTGTAAGGAAACTCAGAATGAAAGACCGCTGAGTGGAAAACATGAAGTTGAAGGGTAAGAAACACCCAGCAGTCACTGAACTAATGGGTTTTTGAACAGCAGCAGCATCCGACGTCAACATCTAAGACCTGGAATAGACACGGCGTTTTAATTATAAGGTGTTTTACATCAGTTAAAGCACTGGAACTTACCATCATAAACAAAATAGGTTTCATCTTTGAAAACAAGCACGGCGGGCATCTCTTTCAGGGTCACATACTGCATAAACCAGAAGAGTCAATGAGTTTGACAGTTAAAAATTCTGTTGGTCACCATGAGTTTTAAAAGTATTGGAAGATACTTGGGGGAAAACTCACAATGCTAACAAAAAAGTTAAATGGTTAAAAAGAACACAGCCAAATCTCAAGCTCATCCAGTGACTGGGCTTGTTACCTCTTGACACATCCCCTGGTACGGTGCTCTGTCTGCTAGGGGGGAACCATGAAATATTCTTAAAGCTGCTAACAGACAAAGATATCACAAGAAGTGGGGTCCAGGCGGCACCCTGAAATGGCGGAGGAGATGGGGCGGAGGTAGCAGGCAGCACAGGCCCGCCCTCCCCAAAACTCCCAGGCTGTGCGGCAGAGACAGCATCACTGCACCTAGGAGTCAGCTTCCTGCGAATCCAGGATGCATCACCACCTCCCCGGAGGGTGAGAGCTGCTACCGTCCGGGAGAGGCAAGCGCGGGCTTAGACGGTAACCTGTCTCGTGAATGAGAACTCCTAATGGCAATTAGTAAGAAGACATCCATGCAGTGGGTGCCTGCTTCTTACCCGTGCTGCGCTTAGTCAAGCCTGACCCTGCGACCCCACGGACTGCAGCCCGCCAGGCTCCTCTGTCCGTGGGGTTCTCCAGGCAGGAACACTGGAGTGGGCTGCCCTGCCCTCCTCCAGGGGATCTTCCCGACCCAGGGACTGAACCCAGGTCTCCTGCATGGCAGGCGGATTCTCTACCCGCTGAGCTACCAAGGGAGCTGTGTTGTACTAATTTCAAAAGACTAAAATTACAGCAGAGAAATCAGCATCAGAGCAGGAAAGATGTAACTTGGGTAAGCCAGAGGGAATTACCACATGAATGCAGTAACGTTGGCCGTAACAATGAACAAATCAGTAGATGACTAACAAAATAAAAATAATGAAAGGAAGGACAGCTGTCCGGGAAGGATTAGAGGGAGGGAGGTCTGTCTCAGGCGACAGAGAATGATCTGGTCACCCTGCATTAAAAACGCCACAGCACCATGCAGACAGCCCCCGAAGGGCAGCGGGAAGCCCTCGGGAAAGGCTCTGCCGTCAGGCACACCGCCGGCCACCAACCACACTGATGCTCCCATTTCAGAACGCCCTGCGTCTCTCCCTTCCAAGGGCATCCCTGGGTGAGCCAGCCATTCTCTGAAATCACACACCAGTGAAACACCTGTCCCCACTACTCCACTGAAACCATTTCTCTTAAAACCATCACCTACCTCCACGGGGACAAACACCACTGTTCGTTCCTCTCCGCATCTTGGTGTTTCACAAGCATCTTGCACAACTGGCCACTCCTCTCTTAAGCACCTTGTATTCTGGCTTCCCTTTCACCTTGTTCTCCTACTTCACTGGTGAGCTTTTCTCATTGTTCTCTGCTCTCTTTAGGACCTAGGACCTTTTACCTGCCACCCTCCCCAAATTTGCACTCCATGTCTGAGAAGTTTATTTTATTATTTCTGCAGCTATCACTTAACTCCCAACCCTTATATCCAACAACTTATTTGATGTTTGTACTTGAATGCTTAATATGTCAACTTAAAACAAACCTTCAAAACTTGATCATTCCTCCCATACTCTTAACTTGTTCCTTCTCCAGTATTTCCAAGCTCGTAAGCAACACCACCATCCATCTGCCCAGCTGTTCAAACCAAAAACCTAGAGTCATCCTTTCATTAAATTACTAAAGCACATCTTATTTTGCATTTGAACAATTCAAAGTCACGGCTAGAGTTTTTTCATGTTTGAACTTGAACAACTATTTCTTAATCAAAATGAATCACAACCAAAAGAACACATATTATGACTTCTTATTCATCTCTTTTCCTCTAGAACAAGCTCAAACAATTCCATCTCCAAACATAATTCTTTCCCTTCTCCCTAATTCTTCTATTACCTTTCAAGTCTAAATCCTAGGTTGTTTCAAGAGCTCCACTGATCTTCCTGATTGAGTCTCATCCTGATCCAGTTCTTTTTGCACTTAGCAGAGGAATGTCCTTAAAAGGAACTTGAGACTAAGCCCTTCCCTAGCCCTTCACAGGTGTGGCCCTGAGCTGCAAGGCTCCCACCGGGCTCGGCCCACCTCCCAGCTCCTTTGTCCCTGCGGTACAGCCAGGCTGGCGACTGTGGCTACTCCACTGTGCCGGGCAGGCCCTCATCTTGGGCCTTTGTATCACCTGGTCCCTGTTCCTGGTCTACTTTGGCCACAGACCTTCACATCTCGTAAGTCCCAGTTCAGATATATTTCCTCCAGACAGACACTTCTTGATCAACCAATCAAGAGCAGCCAGCCCACCTCTAAATGGCCACACTGCTGCTTTATTATTTTTTTTATAGCAGTTATGATATCTTGTGTATAGCTTTGTTTCCCAAGGACCCAAGCAGAGAAGGACTCATCTACAATACTAAAATTTAATCCGCTTCCCCATCCACAAGAACATAATCTCTACCGTACAAGGGTCCTGATGACTTTGGTTGTCATCAATAATCCAGGACTTAAAACTGTACATACCACAACAATTAAAGGACAATGAGCAGTTGCTGAATATACATATTAACACATTACTTAAAATTCAACTTTAAATATTACCGCAGGGACGACTTCTTCTGAGGCAGAAAAGAAGTACGTATATACAATTAATTCTGAAGCAGCATCAATGTATTTCTCCTGTGAAGATACAAACAGAAAAAAGGTGACTTTTAAATATTAACCAAGATCAAAATTCATTCCTCATTAAACATTCAGAGCAAGTAGTATCATTGCTAAGTATTAATAGATCACGATAATTTGCTACCTTAAATCCTTTCATGTGGAAAGATTAAAGTAAATAAATTGTTTCTTAGGCAAAAGACCATTATAACTAAGTGCTTTTATACACCTTCAAATAACGTTCATTAAATACAACAACCTCAAATCATATTTATTAGTTTGCCAATGAAGAGAGAAGTGCATGTCCACACATGCCAACATATACATACATGTATACAACAATCTTAAAACAGTGAGCTTTTGCCTATTACACTCAACTGCGTGTTGCGGTCTCAAAGTCTCAAAATGCTGAAAAGCAATACAAAATTTAAATAAACAGGTCAGGAACAGAAAAAAGACTAAGGCAGGCAACATCCACCCACTTTTTACTCAATTGTTTCATGAAGGCAAATCCTATAAAGGGTATATGACAAAGTGCTTTTATTATAAAAACACTTAGATTGAACGAAAGTATTACTAATAAGGGTGAAATAAGTCCTGAGTTTTTCATGAAAGTCTTCATTATACAGAAAATTAAATTACAATACATCTGTTCTTATGGATTAAAAAATAAAATCATTTGATACCTTCAGAGGTGACTCTCCACCTATATAAACAAAAAATACACGATGTCTCTTCTGCATATGTTCAAACATTTGCTGACTCGGAAGTGGCCGAATTAGAGCCCTGTTTGAAAACAGAACAAATGAAAAAATCCTTGTATTTGAACTAAGACTAGTACATACTTTATTTCTATTTATGTCAGCCCATCATGTCTAATGTCACAAACTTTTATTACTGTATGAATTGCATTTTAAGTATATCATTCAATCCACATAACTCTTATGAACTATAGCCCATGACCACTATCAAACTCATATAATAAAAACATAGTACCTACAATTTGATCTACCAGTTTAAACCCTCTGGAGAATATCACCTGAACCAATGTTTGGATAGGCAAAGATGGGACTATAATCCATTTAGAATCCTCAGCTAAGAACAAAACCATCCACGTGAGAGGTAATTTTTTTTCTCCCTTTCAAAAGATCATTCACACCAACACACTATGAAACACTATTCCAGAAATTAATAACATTATATTTAGAACATTTATGTCTTACTCTGTCCATTTAAATGCTATGTAGTTTTAAAACACCCTATAAGGAATAAAATCTACAATATTCCTAAGTATGTTATTCTTCTTGGGAAAAATAAAATGGAAAATGGTAGCATATAAGAATTTTATGAAAACAAAACTGTAAGAAGTTTTATTAGATATTTCAAAGCCAAATAAACTGAGAAATGAACTACATCAAAGGTGACTATAAAATATATGACTTATGAAATATTATTAAAAGCTAACAGGCAGTCGTCTTCTAAATGTGGTCTATAAGATTTTTATTCCATCACATTTGCAAAAGGAACAAGATGTATTCTGCAAAGGCAAACATATTTTCAAAATGCACAGTTCTTTAAATGCATTGCATCACTCTATTCAAGTCTCTATTTTAATGTGTAAGTAATTAACTGGTAAGTGACGCAACTCCAGAAGTGATTCTTGAAATTTCCTTTGCAGTAGATTCAGTCCTAGTTACATCAGGAGAAGGCCATCCTAAAATTGCCAAAACATAAAGACTAATCTAAACCATAGAGGAATAAAGTAATCCTACTAGAGACCCCCTCATGTAATATAAAGTTACCTCAAAATTATTCACAAAGCAAATAAAATGAAACATGCCATCAGTTAAAAAATACAGTAAAAATTATACTTTATCAAAGCTTTGCAAACTTTAATATTCAAAGATCATTCCTAATTCTGTATCTTTTCTCAAATAATTTAAGCTAGGTAGTATCATGCCACCCAACAAATCCATTCCAGTATTTCAATTTAACTTAAAAATATTTAGAGCTATCAATATATCACATCCTGTCAAACTCATAAGCTACTATACTTTCCAAGTAACCTACTTTGATAAATGTTCCTTCAAGAAGTTATACATAATCCCACTAAATAACTATATGCACCAACTTTCTATATATGCCAGCAAGATGTAGATTAAAAAACAAAAATTCACCAAATTCAAACCAAAAGGAAAGACAAAATTTGTTTTCTTAGCAGTAAAACTTCAGAGATCTGAAACTCAAAAAAACTCTCTGGGTTCTATATTACATTATATTCTAAGCAAAATGTGCAACAATACCTCACAGCTGGCATACAGGAGATGTGAAAGATAAGGGAAAGAATCCTAGCTACATCTAAAAAACATCTTCACATATCACAGGTTAGGGATTAAAGTCTTAAGACTATTCAGAATATCATGTTGTGGGGTTTCTCTTAACAACGAAACTAGACAATGTGAAAAATAATGTAAACCAGGTAGTACAAAGGCAGAATCATCATAAAATAAAAATTAAGATTCACAAAGCTGTTAGAAGTAATCAAGTCTTGAAAATGTATTTAAAAATCCATTGGGGAAAAGCTCTTCTTTTTTGGGGGGGAAAAGCTCTTCTATACACAAAATAAATTTAAATGTGAGTGAGGTTAACAAATATGTAACATAAATCATGGACCCTTTCATTTTTCTAAAGAAGCTCTTTGCATATGCTATGCAACTCTATCTTTCCTCATAGACAAATTTCATTTAAAAACCTAAAAATATGTATATTCAGTGCGGTTTATTAAAATACATTTAATTTTCAAATAGTGGTTTCATAAAGGCCTGTCATAATACAAACTTACCCTGACACTCTGTGAGCAAACTCAATTATATCATCTTTTGTTCGTGGTCCTCTATAATTATATGCTAGGTCCCCTTTTAATCTTAAAAGAAGAAAACAAGATAAAAGCTTGCATTAATTGTTTTCATATTTAATCATAATCACTCTCAATTGTTACACAAATTACAGCATACAAAATAGTAAATGGAGATTTAGAAGCAGCATAATCATGGGGAAAAACAGCTGAACACTGCCTTCAAGGGATCAACAACTCAAAATGCAAAGAAAAGACTATATTTTTCTAAAATTATGTGAAAATACTTCACTGTTTGACAGCTGAATATATTTATGCCTTCTATTAAGTGAAAAACATACACATTCATGGTAAAGAACTCAAAGCATAAGTCTTACTATCTTCTCTACTAAAAGGTCAGTGAAAGGACGGGAATTAAAAATATTCTGATAAAGATAAAACCAATTTTAATACAACAGAGTAACGTGATAAATGCACCAAGACTGCAGAGTAAAACAATGCATTAAAAACAGCTCTTCTAGAAAATTAGATAATCTTCTAAAATCTGGCCAATGAACTGTGTCCAACTAACTGAAATTTTAAAAGTTGGGAAAGCGCCAACAGAACACCTATAATTAAACCAAAAGAAAAACATAATTAACTGAACACAGGAAACTAAGAGGCTTAGCAAACATTTTTAAACAGTGGGAGGAGAGAGGCCAACACAGAACCCAAAGAATTAAAAAAATAACTTACTTTATTACAAAAATAAGTTTCCAAGTAATTCCTCAACTTTTCATATTACCAAAATAACAATGAGATCAGGATTAAACTCATGAGAAAATTCAATAAAATCATGATTACAAAACAAGGCCTTTAGAATTATGACAAGATATTTTTTACTGTATATGCTCTGTGTCAGACGTGGTCAAATCTACAGGTGATAACTAATATCTGTCAATTTTATTTTCTTTTTCTTTCACCTCTAATGAAATAGGTCTATTTTAATTATAGAAAAGTAAAATCTGTTACAAGACAGGATTCACAAGTTAAACAGAATACACTCTTGAGCGCCTGAGGGGTAAAAGACCTGTTGTAATTTACAACTGTACCCCTTGTCCCGCTAGGCGCCTCTCACAGTCCCACTCAACACACACTGGGTGAATTAGCCTTAAACCACACTTTAACTTAAGTGCAAAGAGAAGCACAGATGGATCCCTCTCCCTGGACCACACTGCGCCTAAAAAGAACTGCTGAACCCAAGTCTTCAATTCTCCAAGGAAGCTACTAGAATGTAATGTAATAAATGTAAGTAGAGTGAACTAATAAAAATACACATATAAACATACAACACTCAACTTACAGCTTAATTGTTGGATAACCTCGAACTCCAAACTCTGAAGCAATGCCTTGATAAGAAAAAGAATAAATAATTCTAAATTTTTTAAAAATGAGAAACTAGGTAATAAATGAGCCTTTTACTTAAAAAAAAATATACAAACCCATATAGATATGTTGTTCTTAACTCTTAAAAAATAATGTAAACACACAAAAAGGAAAAAAAAATGACATTCTTGTACAAAATAATTACTTGATAATCCAACTTATGACTTACACAAAAATACTATGACAAAACAAAAAATAAATTCCAAAAGAGTAAATTTTATCTCTAAAGTACTTATTTTAAAAGATGTTGTTTTTTTAAAAAATTATATATATACATACCCACATATATATAAAGTCTCACTCTTTATTTGACTTCATTTACAGAACACGTATTTCTCTAAAAAAGGGCTCATCTTTCCCTTTAGTGTTTTCTGAATCTTAAAAGAACTGCTTTGTACTTTAATTTTAAAAACATGAACTGTAATTGCAAAAACAATTTATGATCTAAAAGCAACATTACTTGTTTTAAAAGTTTCTGCTTTTGTAATAACCTAGAGTATTAATAATTTCAGTTACTTCAAAGATTATTGTGAAATCCTCACGTTAATTAAAATAAGATACAGTCACTACAATGGCATCTTTTTAAGGAAAACAAAAAATAGTAAGGAAAATAAGGAAACAACGGAGAATCAGAGGACTTTAAGAGGCATAGTAATCACTACAGAAAATCAAAACTATACTCCTTTACAGATCTAAGGCAACTAGGACAGGAAAAAAGAAATAAAATATTCTCAGTTAGCAGACAAAACACAATATATTTACACAACTATCCTAATTTATGCAAAGAATACTTTATTTACTCATATAATCACTCCCTCTGTTTTATTTCCACAATATTTTTTATGATAATTGGGTATAAAAAAACTGGGCGCTGATTTACCAATCACTTTAGTAATCATTAATTTTGGTTTCTCTTCCCCACGGCAATTCACAAGAAAAAAACAAAGTGAATTTGTGGCAAATAGTACAGAAAATCTCTCCTCCTTCCTTTTTCAATTCTAGACCTTCTCCCTTAAACATGGAGAGAGGTGACCAGAAGGTTCTGGCCAGTGATCAACAACAGCTTTTATCAGAGGTGACACAAAGAACGGGGTGACAGAAGTAAGAACCTGGTGCATATATACGAAGACACAGGTCCTGTCTGAACAGCCCTGTGAGCTGAGACCAATTACACAATGTATCTGCACCTCCCTCTAACTTAGCACTTAATTCTGTCACGTTTCACACACATACATATACATAATTGAAGCAGAGCTGGCGTTCAATATTAGTTACAGCATAGTGACTCCATATTTTCAAGGATTGTACTCTGCCTAAGGTTGTTATGAAACACGGCTGCATTGCCCTGTGCTGTATGTGACCTTGTTGCTTATTTACACACTGCTCTGTAGCTCTTAACCCCACGTTCCTATCTCGCCCTGCCTTCCTTCCCTCCCCCTACCAACATCCAAACTTGGTTTGTTATTTTCTGAGTCCATTTCAGTTTTGATATTAACATATACACTGGTTTTATTTGTCAGATTCCACAAACAAGTGATAACATACAATATTTATCATTTTTTGTCTGCCTTATTTCACTAAGCATACTACTTTTTAGGTCCATTCATGTGGCTGCAAATGGCAGAATTTCATTCTTTTTCATGACTAAATATTCACTGTGTATGTATATATGTGTGTGTGTATCACATCTTCTTAAACCAATCACCTGTTGATGGGCACTTGGACTGTTTCCATTGCAGCAATAGTGCTGCAAATGAGGTGCATGTATCTTTTCAAATTAAGAGTTTTCCATTTTTTCCAGATATATACCCAGGAGTGGGATTGCTGGATCATAGGGTAGTTCTAGTTTTAGTTTTTTAAGGAACCTCCATACTGTTTTCCAAAGTGGCTACATCAGTTTAATTCCCACCTACAGTACACAACTGTTTTCTCCACATCCTTGCCGACATTAGTTATTTGTAGACTTTTTGATAATGGCCATTCTGAGAGGTGAGAGGTGACATGCCTTTGTGGCTTTGATTTGCATTTCTCTAATAATTAGTGATGTTAAGCATCTTTTCACGTGCCTGTTAGCCATTTGTATGTCTTTTTTGGAGAAATGTCTATTTAGGTCTTCTGCCCATTTTTAAACCAGGTAGTTTTTTTGATACAGAGTTTTTTTGATATAAGCTGTTTCTATATTTTGGTATTAAACCCTTATTGGTCATATCATTTGCAAATACTTCTGGGTCAAGGATATTCTAACTGAATACTCTTGTTATTAAGATTGCCCTCTTCCAAGTAAAAATATAGTTATGTGAGTAAATATATTCTTAATGCTCCTCACCTCAAATTAAGAAGGTAGGCAAATATAGGCCCTGATTACCTTCAACTGCACCTCATTAAGAAGTGCCAAAATATAGAGACAAATTTAACTGATCTGGAGAGGGAGGGTATAGCCAGTAGCAACTGCTTACATAACTCAGTGTAATATTTGTAAACAAGTCAAATAAAATGAAATATGCAATCGATGAGGAAAATGGCGGTGGAATTTTATAGCTGATGTTATGGTTCTAACAGGCCGCAGTGAGAGAATCCCAGCTGCACACTTGTACCATCACTTAATCTCCTGGACCTGAGTTTTCTTGCCTGTAAGATGGAGTTGATGCCACCCACCCTTTAGCCACTGGGTTCTTTGAACATTAACTTCCATCCCTGATAGGATATCAGCTGACAGTGATGGGGGAGGGAGAAGGGAGCTACCAGCATCCCGTGAGCAGAGACCAAGGATGGGGCTGAACACCCAACAATGCACAGGAAACTCTTCTCCCCACAAAACATCATCTGGCCCCAAATGTCCACCAGACCAAGTCAGAACAACCTTGAAAAACAGTCACTGACTATAAGGGCTTATAATCTAGAAACATATGACTGATGTGCAAATATATCTGGAATCACAGAATGAGAATAAGAATCTTATTGGCCAAATGCCCTTGAAAGTTTATACATCACAAAGAGGTAAAATATGATCTTTATATAAAATGATGTCACACTCAGGCAGAGGAATAAGTGGAATTTTCAGTGGTTTCACAATAGAAATCAGTACGGGATTACTGGTAACATGGTAACATTTTAACTTTTGGATGAGAACATTTTTGTCTTCATTTTATAAAGAATATGTAGAAAAAGAAAGGCCAAAGTAACATATGAATTTACGCTGAACATAATACATCAAATAACATTAAGAAGTTGTATAACAAGTTAAAACCATGCCATCAAGAAATACCTGATAAAATTCCAAATACATATTGCAGGATAAATCAGGGAAGTTTAAATCTCTCCCATTCAACAATTCTATACACAGAGACTTGCTGGATTGAATATGATGGTGTTCATTTCAATCACTGCAATTACATGATTGAGAACTAAGCTACCCTCAAGTCGTCTAAGAGATTTTCTCTACTTGATCACTGAATAATCCAATCCCACGCCAAACTGAAATCCTAGGACGATCCATCAAAATTATACTTTACTTCAATGATTCTCTAACTCAAGTATGCAGCAGAATTACCTGAAGTCCAGGTTAAAAATACAGATTCTCATGACTCAATCTGATTTTCATTTGGTAGGGGAGGCGTGGGCCTTTGGAATCTGAATTCATACTGAGCACCCGGGTATCCTAACACAGGCAGCCTACAGACTAAACACTGGGAAACACTGATGCCGTGACCACCTGCAAAGCTCCCCAGGGGCATGGAGGAGACGTGCAGGAAACTGCCAGTCCTCCAGTGCTCCACCGTCAGAGGCAGAACACTGCCCACAGCTAGCCTGAAAAGGGAATCAATTTCTTTACCTGTTTGAGTCCAAGTTCTACTAAAATGCCTGCATTTGAGCTGCCCTGAAATATTCGAGAAAGCTTTAAGAATTATGTGCCAAAAATATATTTGCAATCTCTAAACAGTAGTTTTTGAATACTTAACAACTTTTTTTTTAAGGAAGATGGTATTTCTTTCTTCCATAGCAAACAAAACATCTTGATTCTATAATAAGGTGAAAAATGCATTCATCGCTGACATCAAACACTAAACACGACAATTTACTTGTTTATTGACTACCCTTTGACTCAGTGAAACGAATGCATTACAACATAGACAAATGTACGTGTATGCACATCTAGTCAACATACATGCCTAGACAGAAGCATTTACTTTCACAAGTTAAAAGGAGTAATTCCTTAAACATTGTGAAAGATTGCTTCAGGAAATACCCACTCGACCATTTTATCTTCTCTAACTTCTTACCATCCATCTCACCCCTCCTAAAGTCACAGCAGTTCACTTGTGTGACTCAACAACTCTAGTTCTAATATCTCACCTGCACTCTAGTTCCCCATATTCTCAAGCATAATAAAGCAAAAACCACAAAGTTGAAACAGCTACTAACACATAAATACAGAATTACATATAATTGTTTTTTTCCTGGTAATGGTAATATAGTTCCAGTGTGAGTTTTGCTAAGACTCTTACACTCTTATTTTCAATTGTTTTTCTTTATACCAGAGCTAATCTATCAAATCTGTGATTTAACCCTTGCAAATGTCTATTAAGAATTATTGTCTCTTTACTCTCCTGCCCACCACTCAAGTCTGGCCTCCCAGTATCTTATATCAAGATGCATACAAAAGTCAGCTTAGATAATCTTTTTGTCTGTAACTGCTCTTTTCATCCTACATGTTTCTGCCAAAGCATTATCAAATCATCTGCCTTCTCAAAAATGTGTGTTAGCTCTCTACTGACAACTGACAAAACCCAAAACACCTTGTCCCACCTGAGAGGCTCTTAAAGTCTGGTATTATCCCTCAGCACTTAACAAGTGCAAGCCATTGTGCTAGAGCTTCTGAATAAGAAATATTAATACAATCCTCACAACCTTGAGAATTATCCCTTTCTCATTTACAGACAAGGGCGCTAACATTCAGAGAGGTTAGGAGCTCCCCCAAAGCCACAAAAGTAAGAGATGACTGACCTGGATTTAAAACATAGGTCTGTCTTCTCCTAAATTTACACCTAGAGTACAATGCTGACTTCCTAAAATGAAATATGCATTTCATATGTCATACTTCCACTTCCTTCATTAATTAATGGAAAAAGGAACCCACATTTTATTGCGCACGACAAGGGACTATACATGTGCTGTATCATTCTAGTCTCAAAACAACCACGGCAAAATGCATCGTGATTAAACATTCACTGGTGTAGAAATCAAAGTTTAGCAATTTGTTAAATGTTAAGAAACGTTCCTCGGGCCACAGGAAACAGCAGCAGGCAGAGCAGGATCTGATCTACTTTTTGAGCCATGCTCTCCCCAAGTCTGTGTGACACCTCATATTCTCTGAACTTAATTCTGCCTTTTCCCAAACCCTTTAAGACAGGTATTGGTAAACTTTACCTGTACAGGGTCTGATAATAAACATTTTAGGCTTTGTGGAGCGACAGTCTCTGTTGTAACTACTTGATTCTGCCTCCGGGTCACAGAAACAGCCACACAGACAACAGTAAACACAGGAGAGACTGTTTCAGAGGAGCTCCGTGCACAAAGCCGGCGGGGACGCCTGTCCAGGGCTGCAGCCTGCCAGCCTCTGCCTGAAGTCACTCTCGTGTCTGGTGCAGACTCGCTGAACTCATCCACAGCGCTACGATTTCGCTGTAACACCCTCTCTAACGTGAGCACTCTCCTGATCCCCACTCGCATGTTAGCTCGCCTCATCCTTCAAGCGCCCATGGACTCCTAGACCATGCCACTAAGCTGCTCAGACAACCAACTCTCATTCTTCACCCTCATAGTGACATCCAGAGTTCAACACTCCATCTCCTGTAGCTGCCTCAGACAAGTGATTATCTCAAGTGGGCTTCCAGTAGAAACAGGGGCTCTATAACTGTATTAAGTATAAGATTAACACAGACTGCATATCACACACTCAATGGTTAACCCATCTAACTCGTAAAATACAGTCTGAAATCTCTTCTTCCTGTTACCTTAAAGACTGCTTCCTGTAATTAAAACACTTGCATTATGAGAACAGAAAAATAATAAATCGAGGAGCTGCTTACTGGAATAGGAAGTAGCATCCATCTTTCCCACTTTCACTGGAGAACCGATGCTTTTCATCTCAAGACCAACTTCATTCCAAATCGGTTCCAGCTTTTTACAATGGCCACACCATGGTGCATAAAACTTGTTTTTTAAAAAAAAGAGAGAAAACCACTAAGATGCTGTACTACTGTGGATGTCAATCCTAACTGTTCAAGAATCTTTTTTACTAAACGATTGGATAATAATCTATTTTGGACCAAAAGTCTAAATATAACTTTTAAAGTGGTTACAAAATAAACACATACACACAAACCTAGACATGTCAACTTCTAGGATATAACTCAATACTGATATTACTTTAAAGTCAGTTTAAATGGCTACTGATATCTATTTAAAATAGATGATTTACGATTAAAAACATCTTTGCAAAAAAAATAAAACATCTTTGCTCCCAAATGAGTATGTCCATGTTAGATATAAAATTAAACCACCAAATACACTTCATATATCACATGCACACCCCTTAAGTGTTAATGACAAGCATCAACTTATTTCTATTGCAAAAACCATAACACAGTAGGTGACTCTGCTCCTATAAGTATAACCACTGGTAAGACAGTTTGGCACAGTGACAAGTCAGGCTGATGAAACTAAAATCCTGGTTCTTCCTTCTTCAGAACCACCAGATGGGTGGGGTGGTACTTAGGTGCCTCCCGTTAGGGAGCATAACAAAAACTGTGTGTTGTACTTTTATGAAGTAAGATTTAACTCTCTTGTAATATCAGCCTATGGAAATGTTCAAACCTATATCTAGGGAGACAGACAAACCAGTGACCTTTACGCCTCGCTGCCTGGCTTCAGTGACCGTCAGCTCTGCCCGTCTCATTCCATCTCTCTTGCTGCCACTCACCCCACTTTCTCACTGAGGCATGTCAAAATGCACCCCAGACATCACAGGGTTGAAACACATTCAAAACATCACAGCAAGGTAAAGATGGAAAACTGATTCTCTCACTATCAAGATGAAAATATGACTTTGATTGCCAAGTGATACTAATATACTCAATCTCTTGGATGAAATTAAACACTGAGAGTGAATTCTGTGATAAAACCATACTATAATCGCCCTCGGACATAATGCACAAGTGGACCTCGTGAGAATTTCATCAAAAACAGGTTCCCCTGCCAGAGATCCTAAGGCTCTGAGGTTCACTTTAATATAAAATCCCCGATAGTACTACCTGAGAAGACAAAGTGGGTTATGCACACTGGTACCGTCTGTTACCATATTTGGGTGAGGAGAATGGGAAGTCACATTTAAAATGGAAGGGATGGTTGATCTGTACAAAAAATTTACATACTCACATCTACAAGCCAAATGTCATCTTTTCGATTTTCTTTAAACCTAAAAAACAAGAACACAGATCTTGACTGTAGGTTTCCACTTTACAACAGAATAGCACAGGTAAAGATAACAAATTGATAAATACAGGGTCACAGGACAAATTTTTCAATAAGTTTTACTTTAAGTGTTTTACTCAGTGACCTCTAGATCATATCCATAAACACCTTAATAAAACAAGAGCAATGATAAATTAGGAGGAAAAATTCGAGTGGGACTCTGTAGAAACGTAAATGCTTCAGCTTGGAGCCCCTCTCCTCCACTTACACCTGGGCCTAACAGGGAACAGAGGGGGGCGGGGGTGGGGGTGAGCCTTAGGAAGTCTGCTGGCAGGCCTGGCCGCTGGGAGGGATCTGGGAACCTGACTCTCAGGAGGGTTCCCCCCATTTCCTGTTAAGGGCGGCTCACTGGTTCGCCACCGCACAAACAGTGTGGTTATATGATGAACAGCCACCTTCCTTCAGGGAGTCTCGTAACGGCTAGGCAGAGGGGTGCTGACATGGCCAATCCCCACGAAAAGCTCCTGGGCAGAGTCTCCAATGAGCCTCCTCGATGGGTACCATGTCACACGCGGTTACAACTCCTAGTGGAGAAATTAAGCATGTCCTGTGCAACTCTACGGAGAGCCGACTCTTGGGAAGTTGCTCCTGGCTCCCCTGGAATCCGCCCCATGGGGCCTTTCCCTCTGCTGATGGTGCTGTGCGTTTGCTCACTTCGACTGAGTCCCGTGAGGGCTCGTAGTCGATTGCTGAGCCTAGGGGTGCCCTGGGAACCCCAACACAATACTCTACAGTCAAAGAATTCTCCTAAAACCCAGTTCTGACCATGTCACTCATATTTGTTTTCTTCAAGGTCCCTTCCCCCAACTACGAAAAAAAGTACAAATGGCTACACTAATCTGGCTCCAGCTTACCCTTCCACTCAGACAGACACCCTCTAAGATTTTCAGACTATGGCACCTACTGCAGATAAACTCACAATGTTTATTTGAGCTTCTACTGTAGTTTTTCATATTCAAATCCTAGCAGTCAAAAGCACTGCTAACTCCATAATGCCTTCCTAAACTACTCAAAGCTAGAAACAATCTCTCCATATCACCTTTACCCCCTTTATGATTCTCATCAATTTCCACAAGTTGTGGTTATATACATGTTAGCAAACCACAGACACACTAATCAAGAAAGAAGTGCATTTGTTTTCAACTACCTATGCCTCACACAGTGATCTGTATTCAATTTATACTGGATGAATGACAGAAGCTCTCTAGGGGAATACTTTAGTAAGATTCTTAACGTTACAGGTAAGACAGAGAGGACACACTCCCCAGGCCGGAGCTCCCGGGTGTTCACATCCACCCAGCTGCAGCCGTCTGCGGACAAGGGCAGCGCCTTTAACTGGCTCCCAGGCTGGGGAACCCAAATGTTTTCACTCTACTCCCTTGGGGTTTACGGTAAAAAATTCTATTTTATATTCATCTTGTGGGGCTACCCAGGTGTCATGGCCACCTTAAGCAAATTGTTCAGCCAGAACGCTCTCACTGATGGCCATTATTCTTGATGTCTGCAGGCAGCTCTGTACCCAAAGATAAATGGCGGGGGCCACTGTCTCCCATCATCTGATGCTTAATAGCCTCTCTCCTCTCCCGTCGATGGGAAGGAGCTGACTGGTACGGAATCCCAGACAGGGCCCCATGTGGAGAGGAAGGTGTCAGTAACTGTAAACGGGCAACAAGTAAAGGAAAGGGGCAGACAGCGTGTTCAAACACGCAGGGCTAACGGGCAGCACCCAACCAGGAAACTGCTGGCTGCCGTGAGACCCCAGACTGCTCGCCTGAGAGGTGTCATCTGGGCCATGGTGACCCTGACCCCTACTTCAGCTGGTCAGACTGGTCCTTTAACTGTTCACTAAGATGCTCAGCACCCCTGAGGATCAGGGCTAATATGGAGGGTGCCCTGTACACCCATGACTGCACTCGCTGATGTATGGCTTGGGCTGCAAAGCCTAGGCATCACCAGATCCAGTGCCCTCGGGGAACCTGCACAGCAAACAAGGTCTCACAAGGCCTGACAGTGAGGCCCAAGTCACTGCAAAGCATGGGGCTGGCTGGACCCAACCCAAAGACAGAGTCATCTGCAGTCAGGATCCAGGGGTCCCTACAGGGGGATGAGGAGCCAAGGCGCTCCATCTGCTGAGAACACTGGCCCAGCGTGGTCATCAGTCCCTAGGGAGGTGTTTTAGCCCCGGCCAGGGTTAGACAAGCAGGGCAGCCTTCTCACGCCGGTTCAGTCTTCTTCAGCCGAGGCAATCCCTGCTCACCCGCCCAAGCTAGGACGGTGCCTGAATTTCCAAGGGCCATCCTCTTGTGGGCCCAGGAGGCAATGAGCTGCACATCCGCTCACTCTGCAATAAAGAATAATTCAGTCCCCACGTTCAGCTGACAGCACGGAATGCTCGTTGGCTATTTCCCTTAGTCCCTTAGTCAGCACAGGGCCATTCTGGTGAGTGTCGCAGACAGAAGAGAGTGTCTATCGGGGCAGAGACACAGACACCCAGTGTCTCATCTCCACAGGGGCCCAGTAATAAGCAGGAGCAGAAAGCACAAACCCAGAACCTGGGCCCAGTGAACGGTCTCCTTGCCCAGTGTCCTTGATCCCTCACCGCAGACCCCGGAGCTCACAGGAGGTTCAGGTGGCCACGGACACTAGGAAGGTGGGCCAGACAAGCTTTTCATTTACAGGAGAATGTTGTTGTTTAGTCGCTCAGTCATGCCCGACTCTTTGCAACCCTGTGGTCTGTATCCTGCCAGGCTCCTCTGCAAGAATTTCCCAGGCAAGAATCCTGGAGTGGCTTCCCATTCCCTTCTCCAGGGGATCCTCCTGACCCAGGGATCAAACTGTGTCTCCTGCACTGGCAGGTGGCTTCTTTACCACCTGGGAAGCGCATCACAGGAGGGCCAGCCCTGTCAGCTCAGCAGGGTTGAGGTGAGTCAGGGGCCAGGCTCCTGCTGCGGCTCACCCGGCTTCCTCCTCCTCCGAGAGGAGAGCAGGTCTGGGGTGCCACACCCTTCTAGGCACCACGCACTTTACCAAACTCACCTGAGTTCCCAGCAGCTTCTCTGAGAATCGAAGCACCTGTCAACAATCCACGAGGGCGCCCGATGCCCACCAGGAAGGCTGCTGAGCATTCCTCGGGACCCTGGGGCTCTCTGCTCGGCAGAGCACCCTGCTGCGGGCAGGCGTGGCGAACGAGGACAACCAGCCAAACGGAGAGTCAAGACTTGACTCACTCATTGCGCCCGTGCAGGCCAGCAGGCAGAAAGGAGCTGCCAGCTCCTCAGCACTGAAAGATGCATCTCACCCCGGAGGAGGCCCGAACCAAAGGCGTCTGCCTCCTCCAGGAGGACCCACACGCAGAGCGGAGGGAGGAGAGGAGAGGTACCGGGTCCACGTGCAGAAAGGGTCTCCACCAAGCCCCTCAACAAGGAGGTTTCCCTAAGAAATGCCTGAGGCGAGGCCCCCACCAGCAGGTCTCCACAAGGGGCCCGCAGGCTGAGAATGCAGACGCGCACACAGGAGACGCTGGGGGGCCGGAGTCCATGACTAGGGCTCACCCCACCCCAGAGACCGCGGTGCACTGTCTGTGCGCCACGTCTGGGGCGGGGAGGGCAGCTTCCCCCCAGGGCCCTGCCAGGAAAAGCCGTGTCACTGCCCATGCTCAGGCCCCAAAGCCACACACAGGATGCTGGTCTGAAGCCGGACTCCTCACCTACGACAAGCGAGGTCTGGTGATTCCCGCTGTGTTACTGGATGGTTACCAAACTCCAGCACCCACTCAGCAGTGACTAACAATGTACAGGTAAAACAGAAGACTCTGCCAGTTTTTACTCTTATGACTGCTCATAAAACTCTGCCGAGTGCAATCCCATTTTGTGCAACTCCTGGAGCAAAACCGGTGCTAGGTAAGCACTGGCCATTGTCTGCTATTAAGGGATTAGATTCACACAACGTAGTGCACTTGAAACTAATATAATATTATAAATCAACTACACTTCAAAGGAAAAAAAATCTATCTCCAAACAAAATTAGCAAATTACGTACCACAGATTTACGTGCTCAATAAAACAAGTGTTATTTTAAAAAATAGTGGACTCATACCAGTATTCAGATAACATCACAGCTGGAAGAAATGAAGATACTATTTAAAAACAGATAAACTCACGAGTCATCGAGATCTTCCACATGTCCTTTACAGAAAGCCAGATCCAGTAGAAAAACTGAAAACAAAAGACAAAATGTATACAGTAAAATACATGCTAATTTATCTTGTGGCTTACATTATATGCTTATTCACCTATGTTTCTGGTTTTTTACAACCTCCCAAAAAACACACCATTCATCCATCCTAGGACACAAATTAGGCAAAAGCATAAGTCGTTCACCTGTTTAATAAATATTTTTGGCCATGTGGTGACAGCAAGTTCTACCTAGGCCAGTAATTCTAAAGGACGGAAGTTCCTTTTAAATATATTTTTACTTTCATCCTGTTTTTCACCATCTCCTCTTTTTGGGGTAGATGTGAACATTGTCTATACTTCTTTTCCTCTAGAAGCAATGATCTCAGAGATAAACTTCAAACGCCATCCAAAATATTGTCCCCCCCACCTCCAAACTGACAGAAACAAAACTGGGTTGGACTCTTAACACTTATCACAGAGCAGCGTTAGGCAGGCGGTGGGAGCTAAACGGTGCGAGTGGACCCGTCGTCGGGAGGACGGCGACGCGGGGCCGAGACTGAGCAGGACCAGCCGGTCCCCAGGCCACACCGCACAGCCCCGGGGCCCGGCCAGGATGCGCCCGCGCGGGCGAGGATGCCTCCGAGCTGGCCAGGTGTGCGCGCGCGCCGGGAAGGAGCGCCCTCGACGCCCGCCGAAGGAGCCCGCGCTCCGCGAAGCCCCTGCCGCCCCGACGGCCGCAGCGGCCGGTCGGAAGGCGCGCGTTACCGGCGGAGCCGTGCCTGGTTAAGGGCCCCACGGCGCCCGCTCGGTGTCGGGACCCGGGACCCGAGACGGGAAGCTATCTCGGCGGCCGCGCAGGCCTCTCCCCCGCTGGAGACGGTCCCCACGCCCGCCCGCATCGCCCCCGCGGCCTCTACCTGCGGCGCAGAGCCGCAGGGCGGGCCTGCGCCTCCGAGCTGCCATGTTCGCCGCACAGGCGCTGCCAGAGCCGACTCAGCGGCCGCCACAGAAACGAGCACCAGCGGCCGCCGCCTGCACGCCCGGAAGGGGAAGCCGGCCGGCCGGGCCGCGGAAAGGAAGCGCGGAGCTGTGGGCGCGGGCGGGGCGAGCCGGCCTCCGCCACCCGCCCAGGCCCCGCCTACCTCCGCCTCTGAGCATGCGCGGAGCCGTGGTGCCTGCGCGCGGCCGGCACGCATGAGCGGGCTGGCACGCATGCGTGATCGTGGCCACGAAGCCTCTGCCCCCGGGACTGCCTCCAGGAGCGTGGGAACCTAGGGTGCGGGCGTGGGTTGCAAGGGGTCCTTTCCCGGAATTTAAATGCGCGCCAGACTTTGAACGGAAGACGAGGCAGACTAGCAACGCTAGGGGTGTAATCCTGCCATCTCTGTCACCTACAGCTCTTATTCAGTTGGTAGTTAAGATTCCTGAAAAAAGACAGGTCTTAACGGTGGGCAGAAAGATGGAAGACTCTGGATGTCGAGTGACCCTACATGTATTTGCAGAATGAATTTGGAATTTTCTTTGACCCCCGTTTGCAACCTGCGAGATCTGTTTCACAGGAGTAAACTCCAGTAATGCGTTTTTGCCAGCTAAGCCTTCCTTTTAAAAAGTGTTTCCCTTGAAAACATGAAGTTAATCATGGGATGTAACTTTTTTACGATTTGTTCCAGTTTCCTGATTTTTGAAATAAGTAAACTACCTGCTATAAAATATTTATATTGCTGTGTGGTTTTCTACATAAAAGTTATTCGTAAAAGCTATTTAGTTTTATATGATACTGATCGCTGCAGGAACTACTTCTACCAATTATTGAATGTCTGTTATGAGAACAAAAATGGATTATGATGTCAGCCCATTCACCCACCATAGGTTCAAAATTCTATGAGGCAGAAGGCTCATTAGTCAGTTCAGTTCACTCATTCGTGCCAGACTCTTTGCGACCCCACGGACTGCAGTACACCAGGCTTCCCTGCCCATCCTTAACTCCAGCAGCTTGCTCAAACTCATGTCCATCAAGATGGTGATGCCATCCAACCATCTGATTCTGTTCTCCCCCTTCTCCTTCTCTTTGATCTTTCCCAGCATCAGGGCCTTTTCCAGTGAGTCAGTTCTTCACATGAGGTGACCAAAGTACTGGAGCTTCAGCTTCAGCATCAGTCCTTTCAATGAATATTCAGGACTGATTTCTTTTAGGTTGGATTGGTTTGATCTCCCTGCTGCCCAAGTGACTCTCAGGAGTCTTCTCCAACACCACCATTCAAAAGCATCAATTCTTCTGATGCTCAGCTTTCTTTGTGTTCCAACTCTCATATCCATACATGACCACGGGAAAAACCATAGCTTTCACTAGACAGAGCTTTGGAGGTAAAGTAATGTCTCTGCTTTTTAATATGCTGTCTAGGTTTGTCATAGCTTTTCTTCCAAGGAGTGTCTTTTAATTTCATGGCTGCAGTCACCATCTGCAGTGATTTTTGGAGCCCAAGAAAATAAAACACTATTATTCCTAAAGACCGGAAGATTAAGTTGTAATCTGATGGAGAGCAAACTCTAGGTTTCATCTTGTTTACGCAGTCAGCATAGCATCCAGTGCAGGCATTCAAATACATATACTTTTAAACTGAGCATCTAATTTATTCTACAAGTTTTACATACATAAATATTCATTCCTCATGAAAGTTCTCAAAGTAAGAAATAGTATAAATGAGGGTCTAGAGGCTCAGAGGTAATTTGCTTAACAATTGAAAATGATGAAATTGCTGTTGGAAACCAAGTCTCAGATTCCAGAGCTGGAATTCTTTCTGTAAAAGGACACTACCTCTTAGGATTCCTTTCCACTCTAGAATTTTCTCCCTCTCTCCCTTGTCTCCTTTTTCACTCACCTTATTTTGGCTGATGGTACAAATGTTTGGCCAATTTCCCTGGAAGTTAGGCTAGCTACTTCCCTACTGAATATTTTCCATATCCGACTGCTCACAACATCTTGTTGCTTTTATTACCTCAGTGTCTCTTCAGTCCGCCCCCATTGTCTCCAGCTCTATTATCCCCAGGTCAGGGCCTCACCTTCTCTTGCTTGAATAATTGGGCTCCTAGCCTTGAGTTTCCCTTCTAAGGCACTCTGCATCACTTCCTAGATGAATGTTTCAGAAATACCATTTAGAATTTTATTACAAAGATTACTTTCACTTTACCGCTGCTCACTGGGATACAGGATAAAATTTCAGCTCTACACTCCGTGCTAGTATTTTCATTGTTGTTACCTCTAACCGCTCCCATTAGTCCCATCCTCCCCTCCCGAGGCACCACTAGCAACCATTCCCTGGTGAACTAGCCATGCCATCTTCATCTCTTGTACCTTGTGTAAAACAAACTTCATCATTGGATTGAATGTTACTACCATCAGCATGTGTGCCACGAGCAAAAATCTATGTGGCATTTTTTTTTAAAGGCTTTATTTTTTAAGAGCAGTTTTAAGTGCACAGCATAATTGAAAGCACAAAGGAATCTTCCCAAAAGAAGTAGACTAAAAAATTCTCAGTCTATTTCAAAATTTTGCCTTCCACAGGATGTAAAAGAAAAAATTCTTTAATTTTTATCACAGCTTAAGGGGAGGGGAGGACAACAAAACCACTCTTGACCTAGGCCTGTTCTTTCCAGTAACAACCACTAGTCACATGTGGCTAGTGTGATGGTAGTTTAATAAATGTTAAATCCAATACTTGATTCAGTTACTGGAAAATGTTTATGTGGCTGGAAAAATGTAAATATGCATTGGACTATGAAGACAGTAAAGTTTCTCATCTTAATTATATTGAAATTATAATATTTTATGTATGAACTCATAAAATACATTAAAATTAATTTCATGTTTATTTTTCAGTGACTACTAGAAAATTTAAAGCTATATATGTCGCTTGCATTATATTTCCATTGCACACCACTGACCTAGACAATCTGAAAATGATCAGAATAGAGCATTGACTGAAAATGGTCAAAAAAAATCTGTAAAGAGATTTTTTTATACAGAAAACAGGCTGCCATATTTAAACTGGATAGCCAACGAGGACCTGCTGTATTGCACAGGGAACACTGCTGAGTGTTAGGTGGCAGCCTGGATGGGAGCGGGGTTTGGGGGAGAATGGATACATGTGTGTGTATCACTGAGGCCCCTTGCTGCTCCCCTGAAACTATCACACCTTGTTAATCGGCTATACCCCAATACAAAATTGAAAAAAATATTAAAAGAAAACAGGCTAAAGTTACAAATGCTAAAACTTGTATTTAGTAAACACAGTATAATATGAAGTACATTTTAAATATTAATAAAGTGTGTTTTTCCTGCTTATGTGTCTCCAGTGGTGATGAATTTCCTTGACGTGTAGAAGGTTCTATATTAAATATGACATGTTCTTAGAAAGTTTTTCAAGTGAACTACATATTATATATAGATAGGCCTTATGTATTATGCATACACGTTCTCACCAAAAGGCAAGTACAAGAATGTCTGTAACGAGTCTGCTTGTGAAAAATTAAACAACTCAAATGTCTAATATCAGGATGGATACTATGTGTGTGTGTGTGTTTAGTTACTCAGTTGTGTCCGACATTCTGCAACCCCACAGACTGTAGCCCACCAGGCTCCTCTGTCCATGGGATTTTTCCAGGCAAGAATACTAGAGTGGGCTGCCATTTCCTCCTCCAGATGGATGCTATAGCAATGTGCTATATTGCTATGGCAATGAGAACGCATACACCTTTGTGGAGGGCACTGCATGGATGCATCTCATGAACAAAATGTTGAGCAAAAATGAGAAACCAAGGAAAGGTACTCACTGTCTGGTACGGTTTGAACGTAAAGCTCAAACAACAGGCAAATCAACCTCGAGTGTTGAAAGTCAGCGGTACAGGTGGTGTTTTCTTTCTTGATCCGAATGCTCTTACACAGATGTGTTCACTTTGTAAACCAGCACTGAGTTCTGCCTTTATGGTTAATGTACTTTTCTGTATGTAGACTCTATCAATAAAAGTTTAAAAATAAGAATAAAACTGTATTTTTAATGTAAAGATCATTAAATTAGGGCTTGTCAAATGAGCTAAGCATCAGTTAGCGGGACAGCCTGGTCAAACACCATTTCCAACCATTTTGTACAGAATCTGAGTCAGTAGTTCTGAATTTGTATGTCTCACAAGTTTCTGGCTGATGCTCTTGCTTCTGGTCTGCAGATCTCATTTAGTGGTGTTGAGGGAAAATAAATTCAGAATATGCTGTTCATTTTTAGATTCCTTTGCATAACATACATGAGAAAAACTAGAAAAAAATTACCTTTTTATAGTTGTTATTTCCTGATGTTGTATATAATGGTTTTCTTGTTAATTTTAAATGAAAATTAAAACTTTTATTGATATTTTAAAATGCCTTAGTTTTAATGTCCAATATGGGAAATATTGTTAAATGGAACACACAGAATAAAAGAAAGTTGTCTGGTGTCCTCAGTGTATTTTTAAGAATATACAGAGGTCCCAAGACCAAAAGTTTGAAAACAAAGTGGACACTTATAGAGCTCTTCATTCAACAAACAGAGAGTGCATACACATGGAGAAGGTAAGAGAAAATCATGTGCTTAGTGTATCATAAAGTAAGCTTCAACAGATTGAAAAAAATGTGCTATTATCTATATATTCTCTGGCCACAACACAGTGAGCTTATCACACACACGTACGGGTGTGAGGCAGGCGCGGGCTGCTCTTTGTTGCTCTACGCCAGCTTGGGGGCTGCCGTCTAGCTGCGCTGCTTGGGCTTCTCATTGCGCTGGCTTCTCAGTGCCCAGCACAGGCCCTAGCACAAGCTAGTTTCAGTAGTTGTGGCTCCCAGGGCTCTAGAGAACATGCTCAGAAGTTGAGGTGCATGGGCTCAGTGGGATCTTCCTGGACCAGGGATGGAACCTGTGTCCCCTGCATTGGCAGGC